GCAGGCTGACCATGAGGAGATGCCACTGCGCTCTGGAGCAAAGCAAACACTTTGGAGAGAACAGTAAGGCACTGTAGTGTGCATGTTGTGTGGTGTCTGTCATCAGAGAGAGAGGGGACAGGGTGTGTTTCTGCAGGTGCTTTGTCAAACTGAGTGTGTTTGTGGCTGTGCTCTAGTGTTGTGTTGTGTAGCAGTAGTTGAGAGTGTGTGTGTGTGTTCTCTTGTTGAGTTTTATTTCCCAGCATGCTCCAGCTGCAGGCGCCTCAGTGGAGTGGAGAGTGGGGTCCGCAAGAGGAGCAGGACGAGGAGCTGAAGGTGAACACACACACACACACACACACACACACACACACACACACACACACACACACACACACACACAGAGGTTAGAGTGTGACTGTTGATTTGTAAAAAGGTTTGCAGTCTTAAACCAAACACACAGCTAATCTTCCTAAAAGACTCGCTGTTGTGTGTGTGTGTGTGTGTGTGTGTGCGTGTGTGTGTGTGTGTGTGTGCTGAGAAATGGAGACAACTGTTCTTTTAAAAGAGGCTGCACTCATTTAAGGTGTGTGTGTTAATTCATGTTTAGTAGGAAGCTCTACAATATTATATTAGTGCATATACATTAGATTAGTCAGTGCTAAAGCTGAATCTGGAGCTGATCTAACAAAATAACTTACAATAACAGTCCAAAAACTAGCACAGATAAATTTATATGTCATAGAAAAATATTAAATACACATTTAATAAAGAGGAAAAATAAGGAGAAGCAAAAACATGAAGGATTTAGTGAATTTTGTAGGTTGTAATTTATTCTGCTTGAATTTAATTGTATTATCTTTCAATTTCTCTATGTTTGGTGACTGAAATATTATTTTAATAAATATATTTGTTTAATAAATCTGTTCTGTTTAAATGCACCAAAATACACCGACTGAACTCACTGAGTAATGGAGGAACATTCATCTTCAAAATGGGCTGCACTATTATGCTGAGCACTGTATGGCAACACACACATATATATATATATATGATTATCTTTTGTGTGTGTGTGTGTGTGTGTGTGTGTGTGTGTTCAGGATGGTGAGCAGACTCAGACAGTGACGGGCTCAGCGCTGACTGCAGAGATGGTGTCTGTGGCCACACAAACCAAAACAGGTAATCCTGAAAATGACGAGTGAAGTATGTTATTGTCATGATTAAGTTCAGCCTCTGGTGTTAATTATAAATAAGAACCTCTGATTGGGAAATTCTAACATTTTCAAAACCGGTCATGTTGATCGTTGACCTGCTTAGGGGTTTTCTGAAGGCCGATGGCGATATCTTGGAAAGCAGGATGGTCAATCATGTGTAATCAAACACCTGCATTAAACACAGTGACTATCAACTGCTGTAGAGAGAGAGAGAGAGAGAGAGAGAGAGAGAGATGTGCTGTTCTCAGTGCCATCAAAATAAAAGTCCCCCTCAAAGATATTGGCCAAACTGAAATGTAACGGAGATGTGTATCATCTCCACACGTCTGTGTTTTGTTTGCAGGCCAGTAGTGTCAGCTTGTGTATAATTTGTCATGTGTTGTAAGATGCGTCTCCGCTGTTCATACCTGTCAACATTGGGATGTGAAAATAAGGGATATGCGCACAATAATAAGGGATTCCCCCTACACCCCCCTCCCCCCTTAAAAAAATCCCCAAATTACTAAATATGTTCATTTTTAGCTGTTTCATTGTAAATAAACAGTTAAATATTCAGTAATATGTTTTAAAATTATTGTTAACAAAAGAAACATAAATATATACATCAGCACCAAAAACATCAGCGAACAGTTCAGCTTATTTAATCAATAGCTATTATAATGAAATAGAATCAAGCTATCAAATCTCATTAGCCGTTTCTTCACTGTATAACTCACACATTCTGATTAAAGAGCAACGAATGAATCTCGCATTTAATGAGATTTTTTTTTTCACATTAAATAAGAGGTGTCACTTTAAAAATGCACACATCTAACGTTATAATGAAAGCATTCGACTGCTTTCCTAACCTTTTATGCTCATTTAAGACGAAATTAGTTGTGTTTGGAAAAAAACCCCACCAAGATCGACATCCTTATATGTTGTTATTATTAATAATGTGTGAATGTCTGTTTAAACACGCACGCAAAAGCCAGACTTTCTTTCTGCTTTAAATGGCGTGTGCAGAATCCAGGAAGCAGCGTCTGTTTATCAGTATGGAGAGCGTCAGCTGACAGTCACGCACCGCTATATCACTGTTTGGAGGATTGGATAGGATGGGTGACGGCACCTGTAATCTAAAGGAAATGGAATCGCACTGTTTTTAATATTTACTGATGTGTTTTCATTCCTAAACAAAGCAAAAGCACAGAAGACTCACATTTTAGAGCAAGGGGTGACCCCTGGTGGTTCGGTGGTATGGGTTGCGTAGAGGGAGGCTCGGCTGTTCAGAGAAAGACTGAAAATATGGGAGAAAAACGGGAGGGTTGACGGATGTGCCGCTGTTAGCTTATGAAGCGTTAGCAAACACTTGAGCAGCAGCACTGCCACACTCATGTGGAGGTTTGCTGCTGGTTTTCTACTTGCGTGTGTTTTCTTCAGCTGCAGTGCATTGAGCCCTCTCAGCTCAGCCAATGGGAGTTAATCATGTCCTTCTGAGCTGGTAGTTTAGTGTGTGTGTGTGTGTGTGTGTGTGTGTGTGTGTGTGTGTGTGTGTGTGTGTGTGTGTGTGTTCAGATCTGAGTGTGACACAGAAGCGCATCCCGAACCCAGGTCAGTTCTTCAACCCGGATCTGAACGCGGCGCAGAAGCAGGCCGTCAGACGCATCCTGAGCGGAGAGAGTCGACCCACACCGTATGTGCTGTTTGGACCGCCCGGCACCGGCAAGACCATCACACTCATAGAGGCCATCCTGCAGGTCATTACACACACACACACACACACTGCAGTCATACAGCACATTTACACTGCAGTTACTCCTGTAGAGGATGCTTCACTCTAACACTGCTCTCAGATGAGGACTGCAGATGCACTGTCAGTCTGCAGACGCTGTGTGTATGTGTGTGTGTGTGTGCAGGTTCATCACCGTATCTCCTGCAGTCGTGTGCTGGTGTGTACTCCCTCTAACAGCGCAGCTGACCTGATCTGCATGCGTCTGCATCACAGCGGCTTCCTGCACAGCGCCAGTCTGGCTCGAGTCAACGCCACCTGCAGGCCAGAGGAGGTACTGCGCCATCCACACTTCATTTACATTTCCAATTAATTGCATCAGTGAAGCAGACGTGTCTGTGTGTTAAATTCACCTCTTCCATGTGTTAAACCTCGTGTGTTGTGTTGTGTAGTCTATGTCGGAGGAGTTGCGTCAGTACGCTCGAGCTGGAGAAGACATCCGACACGCCAGTTTTCACCGCATTGTGGTCAGCACCTGCTCCAGCGCTGGAATGTTCTACCAGATCGGCCTGCGGTACACACACACACACACACACACACACACACTGATAATTACTCCTCTGCAAGTGAAGGGATTCCAGACCTTGAGTTTCTGTCCTCATGTTGAACGCAGAAGATGTTTTGAAGAATGTTGGAAACGGGTTGCCAATGATATCCATGGTGGGAACTGGAATACTATGACTTTTTCTCCAGTATATCTTCATTTGTGCTCAACTGAAGTTCGTTTTGGCCGAAATAGACACTAACAGAAAGAGAGTCTGTTTGCTTCCTGAATGAATCTTTTTCTGAACGAATCATTTGAGTCAGTGATTCAATGATCCATTCAGGAAAACGGTTGGTTGATTTGTTTATAAATGACTCCTGACAGCAGTGAGGCTTGATGTGTGCGTGTGTGCGTGTGTGCGTGTGTGCGTGTGTGCGTGTGTGCGTGTGTGTGTGTGTGTGTGTGTGTGTGTGTGTGTGTGTGTGTGTGTGTGTGTGTGTGTGTGTGTGTGTGTGTGTGTGTGTGTGTGTGTGTGTGTGTGTGTGTGTGTGTGTGTGTGTGTGTGTGTGTGTGTGTGTGTGTGTTTCAGTGTTGGTCACTTCACTCATGTGTTTGTGGATGAAGCCGGTCAGGCCACTGAACCCGAGACTCTGATTCCTCTGAGTTTACTGTCTGAGACCAGCGGACAGGTACACACATATACATGCACATATATATACACACTTGGGCAGGTCAGGGTGATTAGGCAAGGCATTGTATAACAGTGGTTTGTTCTGGAGACAATCCAACACTAATATTGCTGAAGGGTGAATAATATTGAGCTTAACATGACTCTAAAACTGCTTTTATTCTAGCCCAAATAAAACAAATCAGACTTTCTCCTGAAGAACAGATATTAGAGGAAACACTGTGAACAACTCCTCAATCTGTTCAACATCATCTGTTGTTGTTTATTATTATAATCGTATCTTATTCATATTTTTGTAATATTTACGTATATTTGTAATATTTAACTGTGCGCGTGTGTGTGTTTCTGTGTGTGTGTGTGTGTGTGTGTGTGTGTGTGTGTGTGTGTGCTGCAGATTGTTCTGGCCGGAGACCCGAAGCAGCTGGGCCCGGTGGTGAAGTCCAGGCTGGCGTCAGTGTTTGGTCTGGGTGTGTCTCTGCTGGAGAGGCTGATGGGAAACTCCCTGTACACCTGCGGAGAGAGAGGATTCAACCCCCTGCTGGTCAGCACACAGCATTACACTGCACTGTTACTTCACCATCACCTGTCGACTGTGATGAGCAGATGATTAGCTGTGTGTGTGTGCGTGCGCGTGTGTGTGTGTGTGTGTGTGTGTGTGTGCTGCTTTAATCCATAATCACACTGTCAGGGTGACCCCAATGGACAGTTCACCTTATGTTGATTATATATATATGTGTGTTCTCTTCATGTCGGGTCATAAGAAAGATCTTAAACACACAGAGCTGGAGTTGATCTGGTCGTGTGTAAAGAATCGGCTCTGTTTACTTCAGGTTATTTGGGGTCAAACTGACCCCACATTGAACAT